CTGTTCTATGTAATCACAGGACACAGAGGAGGGAAGGTAATAAGTGTGTCTCCGGGAGTGTATTGTCATCCCTATCATTCCTGTTACCACCATTCTCTGCTGCCTGCTGCTCTGTTTCCTTTCCTCTACTTTCTATAAACAGGAAGCAGATCTCTCTCCTTCTCTGTGTGACTCTCTCGTTTTATCTGTCCCTTCAGTTCTTGGCTCCGTCGTCCCTCCCTGCATCCCTCAGTGAGCACATACAATATATCTACAAAGTGTCAGCTTCCCATAGTACATCCCTGTTATGGGAAGCAAAATAAGCTGTGGTAGTAGTCACTTCATTCAGGAAAAATGTGACAAAGTGGCTGTCTTGAGTTTTTAGACCTGCTGTCTCTTACCTATTTTCTCCTCGCTATTCCTGGTATTCCTGTTTTTGCACTCCTGGCTTCCTCTGGATAGACTTGACAAATGGTGAACTATGCTCCCCGTTGCCTCTGAAAGTGTTGTTGTCATGTTTTCTTGCCTTTCCTCTAGTCTCTATATAGCAAGGGTGTTGATGTCATTGTGTTCATGGGGTGCTCTTGGCCCTTTAGGGTCTTCCTTTCTCGCACCAATGGAGGCAGGAGGTGTTTGACAGATGTCCAAGGCAGTGCTTTAAACAAGTGGCAGGGAGGTGCAGTTGGCACAGCACCGGCTTTGTTTTTTGCTAATACCAAGAATGTCCTCCTTGGACTCCCTCTGATGCAACATGCACAACAAACAGAGTCCCTTTAGACAAACAGAAACCATGGAAATGAACCACAAACACACGGCACACATATGCTCATCAGGACAATTTTATTTGTAAATATTAAAATAGAATAGTGAGATAAGAATGGCTTGTGGACATTGTTATTGCTTTAATGAGTATTTGAACGACTGTGTGCCCATGATCATTTGCAGCAGCTCTGACTCTGATGTTTGTGAATGTCCCATAAATATTGTCAGTACGTCCATGCTTTCAACAGCCATGTGGAAACACCACCATTTTTTGACCATATGTATTACTGAGATATAGCACTTAACCTGTGGCTGACATGCAGCACTTAAGAGTGTTTATGTTTTGGTCAAAGATGTCAATGACAATATTAACTACAGACACTGGCACAAAGTATAATGAGCAGGTCCACCAGCAGAGACTTTAATGGGTCTGGAGGACGCAGCCTGCACGACAAATTTTGGTACCTAGCTGTATAGGTGAAGTCAGATTAATAAGGAGGTATGTCGGAATGTTTCTGTGCTGGAGCCTGACACATTTGACTCTCCGTGGTCCTCCTCTGCAGCTAGAGGCAGTAAACAGTTTAGTGCTCTGCTGTGGATGATTGCTCACACGAGTTCGAGAACTGAAAAGTGGGGATTTGACTATCTGCTAGTTTTAGTTCAGTCCATATCTCTCTCTAAATTGTCCAGAACAAAGGTTGTTTGATGGCTGCTCAACCTTATTAGACTCCAGACCTGCCATGGAGCCTTGAAGATATGTGTTTGCCGGCAAGGATATTAACAACAGGATAAGTTAAGTGATATCTTCCTTCTAAGAGAATACATGCTTACTTGGAAATTTCGTCATTAGTTTGTCCCTGAGCTCATCGTCACCTCTGCCTTTGTTTGTCTGTCTAAGATTGTAGTAGTTTGGATTTACTGCAGGAATTACAGTGACGCAGACAGAATAGAAAATGCCCTGTGTGGGAGAGTGTGAGACTGTGTGGATTGATAGCAGGGAGTGTTCATTAGGGTCATGCATACAGGCCGGAGGAGGGAGGAATGATCAGGACCAAGCCTTTTGGCTGCTGTGCTGCATTCCCGGCGTTGATTTTTACTTGGTCCCAGCTGGAATGAGGAGAATTAAAGGGATATGACTAACACTGCAACATGCAACAGCCTAAGATAACAAACTTTGGTGTTTCTCGTCTGTCATTCACAAAAACAGCCAACAGACATTACTTAGAAATCAAGACAAAACTGAAACAGTCAGTATATCAAAAAGGATAAAGTGCAGTGGCAAGGTCAGTTTAACATAGAAGACCATTTTCTGAATTATTTAATCCAAGGGTCTGACAGACTCCACCAAATCTTCTCATCCAATACTTGAGGTTGGCTTATTGTGACTTAATGAAAAATGAGTGAGTACAAAGCTAACACAGAGTTGTGGTTTGTTGAGCAAGGACCAAAACTCCCTTAGCACACTAAAGCTACAATATAGTGTTTAATCCATAACGTATTCCAGTGATTAACCCTTCAGATGTGTGGGTGTATGCAGAAAATAAATTAGAATAAATACTTGCAGTGAAGAAATCCACAGAGCTACATTGGTAACTGAAAGTGTGAAGTTAAAATTAAATGAGCTGAACCACTGCGAGTTCAGTAAAAGCAACACTGAAGCAACAAACTAATGAAAAACCCCTTTTGAAAGGAAAGATCACTGATGTGATGAAAGTGTCAAGGCCACAGAGTGGCAGAGAAGGTGAATTGACAGTGCGATGGACAAGCAGCTCCACTCTGTGCTTGTGTTTTTTTTAAAGATTATGTCCTGCAGTCTCAAGACATCTTGTAAATATGCTGTTTTAATATAGCGTTAATGCAAACTGTAAAGTCTTCTGGCTCAACAGGTAATGTGGGTGCTGTTGGTTTTACAATTGTAATATCTTGTTGACCTCATTACCAGGATTGTAGTAGAATATGCATTGAGCCATCATTTTTAATAAAATAAAAATGTGTAATCAGGACAAAGTAAACAATAAGGAGGAATCAAACCTGATTTGTTTTAAATCTATTTTATCAATTAAAACACAAATAATAAAAAACAAATCCAGTCCCAGAAATCAGTGAAAGTTGGGAAGTTCTAAGGCAGGTGTCGTTCGAAAGGAGATCTCATTTTAAAGAAAGACACATTTTAGCATATTTTACTGTAGTTATACAGTAAAATATGCTAAGATATGTCTTTCAGGCGTCAACACCAGTTAAAATGATTGAGGTTTTACACCCGGTGTTGGATGACTGTAGGAGAAAGTAAGCTAGCCTTCAGTGATCATTACACAAAAACAAGTTACCTTGTTCCCTGTGGATTCTTACACAAACATCGTGGTTCAAAGTGGTCTCCTACATAGAATTGCTCATACACAGTGTATAAAAATAGGTTTTATTCTTGGCTGCGGAAACCAAGAAATCACACTTTTCAGGTGAGTCTCGGCTGCTCGAAGCCTCAGTAAATCTTGCACAGTGTTCCTTTTAATAGTATGACAGTAGTTAGGGAAAAATACAACACATAAAACCAGGCTCTACAGTTTATTTCCCCTGTGGCAAATATCAGAGACATCTGGACTTCTTACTCCTCGTGGTCGCCTCTGGACTTTTTCCATCTCATCACACTGCACTTGTGCATGGACAAGAGCAGGAAAAGAACAGAAGACGAGCTTCTGCTCAGCAGACTGCGACAATCTGAGGTTGTTATTAGCCCTGCAGTGTTGTTTGTGGTTGTGGAGGTTTATTTTGTAATTGTCAGGGGAATCGTGAGTATTTTTAGAAGCTCCTGCTTGTCCTGTCTGCAATTGGAAGATAGATTACATTGCACTCAAACATTGTGGAGGTGTGTGAAAGATGAAGAAATGAGAAAAGAGACAGTTTGACACATCTTGTGTGTGTGTGCCAAAAAGAAAAGAGCAATGGAGAAGAGGGGAATGATGATTCACCCTGGAAGAGACATGGGAAAGACAAAGAGACATCTTAGGTGGCCAGGACCTTTCACATACCAGTGCATACCTGCACTACTGCACTGCAGCCTCCTCACACACACTAATGCAGGAGTGTTTGGTCTGGCAGGAGATTTATCATACGGCTCTCTTCTAAGACAAGCTCCTAATTCACGCACACACCTATACACTGGCTGGAAGTATGAAGTCCCAACAGACATGAATGATGACTTGGTGTTAAAGTAGGCCAAGGACCAGATTGAAGGACACACTCACGCACACACTGAGTCATAGTCGCTCTCATCTTCGTTCTCTGTGGATTTGTCAAAAATAGCAGATTAATCCAGTGAAATGAGCAGTTCTGAGAATCCGCCAGTTGTCCATTCCTGTTTCCCTCCCCTGGTTTCATTCCTCTGCACTCTGCCCCCCTTTTTTATCTTGCTCTTAGGCTGGCATGTTGCCTTAGGCTATGTTTAACCGCAGGATGTGGAAGGAAAGCAGGATGATGAGATTTAAAATACAATACCTTCAAACAGCAACACCAACAAATGTGTAGTTGACAGACAGCTTTGGAAAGTGAGCTCAGATACATCTGATGATGCATTTCCACTGACACCGGGGAGTGTTGGCACAGCATGAAACATGGCTGCTGACATTGTGACTCTGATTGTGTGATAATAGCAGAGAGATAAGTGTTATTATTGTGCATGCAAAAGCCGGGAAATTCATTTAAGGCCTTTGAGCGACAGCATCTCCCTTGTCTTCCTGTGGTTGCTTTGTGGCTTTACTTCCCTACGGTGCAGTCTCCAGTCAGCTTGGGGAAAATGCCACACTACCCCACGTACTGTATTCATGAGAGAAAATATATGTTCATATGAAGTATTTATGCATACAAACACAAACGCGAGGGGTAAATTCAACGACAGATGGTGTGTTTGAGATTTTATTATTTACACACTGTATTTGCCTAAACAGCATTTTCTGGACGAGCTTGCCCAGAGCTAGCACAGGTGCACTTTTTTTGACCACTTTGTGCAAAACACAGCATGCTCATAAAGCTTAATGTTAAATTTGATGACATTAACAGTCATCAAACAGTTTGAAGTAACCTTTGATCTCAGTGTCTGCTGTTAAATCAGTAAAGGTCACGAATAGTAATTCATTTTTAGTCAACTTTATGGTGACAAAAATTTGGTACAGCTGTGCTGCTGATGTCATTATTTGTTAAGTCCAGTGAAACTGCTTTGTCTACATTACGATTGTAGCTAATTGTACTCTTTCTGTCCTCTAAAGCAGCATGTTTGAGTGACGAGCGAAAGAGGAAGTGGGATCTCTGACGCTCCGCCCCCTCTGCTGGTGGAGCACCTTGTACATCTGACCAGAGACCCCTGTAGCAACTAAAAGAGGTAAGTGAAATGGCAGAAATGGCGCTTCAATGGAGTAAAACAAAAACTCTTTACTTGTTTGCAGTTGTTGTTACATTTCTTCAGATTTTCCATATCATTTTTAATTAAGGGGAAATACAATTTGTTTTTCATCATGGGCTAAATGTGTACCACATTATCTAAGGTCTTTTAATCTTGGAAAGAATTGTAGAATTCATTTGTTCCAGTCTGTTATGTGGTTGTTGTAGTTACAAAACTCTTAACATGTGACAGTGGAAAGTTGTGTAACATTGTGTTCATCATCTGTTATGATTATATTTTTTATCAATAATAATTTATATAGATCAATTGACTTAAAGAACTTCTCTTCTATTATAACATCTAAGATACACAAAAAATGTATCAGTGGGAAAACTGTTAGTGAAGGCTTGTGACTCTGTTGACATAAATAAGTTGTTTGTCTCTTTCTTGGATTCCTTTTGTATTTTCTGTCAAAGCAACACCTCTGTGACAGTGATGTGTAATGATTTTGGCCCAAAAAATACCCAAGTGGTCTGAGATTGAAGTGTTTAATTCCACTTTGTGTCTGTGCCAAGCTTTGCATTGGTAATCAATGTTGGCCTGGTCTTCCATCCTGCCAGGGGCACTTCTCTCTGTTTTACCCTTTTCTCTTGTGCCTTTGATCTCCTGTAACCTGTTTCCTGCAGTCTCACTGTAGCAGAAAATAAAACACCAAACACCTGTATTTCTGCCCATGTGTTGCAGAAAAACAATTGATAATCGAACTAACTTTACAAATGAATCATCAGATTAATTTTGACAGCCATCTTGATGACATTCTTGAGGTGAACTGGGTTAAATATAATTATGTAATTTTGTACAGATTCTGTTAATCGTTCCATGAAATGACTCCCTTTAAAAAAGAAAGTAAAGACTCTAACCATAGTATAGTCATTGTCGTAAAACAGAAAATACACAGATAAAAAATGTAAGCCAGGATATATCTTGAAAAGGTATTCTAAATTATAAGAAATATATTATTGATGATGTCTACCCACTTACAACACAGACCAACTGCCCCACTTAAAGTCCTTTAACAGTTTTTTGGAGGTTTGACTGCCTTCATTTGTGTTCCAAAAATACTTCCACTCAGTTCCACAGGCATGTTTCACCTCATCTTAGAACACTTTAAAGTGTATAATTTTGTATACAGATATTAGCACTCTGCAGCAGTTAATACTGGTTTGAATTACACTCATAAACAATATTTGTCTGTATCTGTTACAAACAGCAGTTTATAGTGAAGTTTAAAGCATTCAAATTGTGTGTAGGAGAAAAGTCAAACAATGGATATATACAGTAGTAATAGATGGAATATATATATATATATATATATATATATTGTTTATTTGCTGTGCTCTTCCGTTCTATTGTTCTTAATCCTATCTTCTTATTCGTCTTTTTATTTGGTGTCATACCACAGCCAGCATTTGACATGATGCGATCACAGCGACTGTTAGGTTTTATATATAAACAAATTAGATCTCATGATATTTCTGTGCTGCACGAAAAAAGAGGTCTGTCTTCTGTGAAGAATGTGGGAGGTAACGCTTAAGCACATCAGTAACATTATGCTATTGAAGAGTAACAACTGTAAAGAAAATGTCACCCACACAAGCAGATTATGCTGCTAAAAATGTTCTTTCTTCTGTTTTTACCATTGAAATTTCTGTTGAACATTACTGAACCATGTCTGTTCATGAAGATCCACTAGAGGGAGAATAGTAGTATTAAAACTAGTGGTGGGATATTATTAAAACCGCTATTTTTGTTTGACACCATGTAGTTAACAAATTATTTGCAATAATAATTATTTTTATAGTCAGAGCTCAAGTGGTGCAGTAGTAGTTTCCTCATCTGCCAACCAGAAGCCTCTAGAAATTCCTGTAGGTTCAAAATGCATCCCTTTATCGCAGATTGGGTTGTGTCAGGAATGGCATCCTGCATGAAAAATCAGTCAAATTTGTATGAAGATTACCACTGTAGCCACCCCTGGAAATACAAATCATCTTCATAATAGTTATGTTTTCATTAAATAGCAATATTCAACGCAATGTGCAATTTTTTTTTTTACATCTGTCTATTACTTTCACAGTGCAATCATGTGGTGTAATTTTAACTATTACATTCAACATTTGAAGACTTGTTTGGCTCTAAGTCCTGTCGTCTGCTCTACTGTGGGCTGTTACTACACTGTTTGCCAGTAGCAGGTCCGTCCTAGCTAAAATTAGCTCTGTTGTCTACTCTCTCAGCAGTGTTTTGCATTGAGGTGACAATGCAGGCTTAAAGTCATATGTTGATAAGAAAACTCATGCATGTAAGCTGTTGTCCCGATCTGCCACCAGGAAATAATAATAAAAAAAAAAGCATTAAAAACTCTTTGTCCAGTAAGCCAAGCCAATATGACAGGAAAACATTTATACTGTCCACATGTGCACCAAAAATGAAAGGTTCTCCATCTTAGCTCACACCAAGCCAACTTTTACTAGGAAAATTAAATTGGAGCAAGACAAACTCACTCCTCATAAATACACTTCACTCACATTCAGTAGTTTTCACTAAGTTTCCACAATACAAAGATGTGAAGAATTGTTTTGTAGTTAAGTGTCTCTGCAGACAGCGATAGAGTCCATCCTGTTCTGTTTCATAAACTTGTCTCATGGTCTGCTTTAGCTAAAGGAAACATTTAACGATTGTTGAGTTTGATGCACTTACATGACCCTGGAGCGCTTCAAACGTTTCACTTTCAGTCATTTTTTACATTGATAGTGTCAGTTCAACCACAACACATATATTACGCCTGTGTATAACGAAACTCAAAGTCTGTTCACGGAGAAATCGAATAAAGTCTCTGACAGATTGTGTGTGGGTAAGGACCCCAGAAAAACCCGGCTCTTTCATTGACAGTCACTCCTCTTTAATTGTATTTTATAGTCATAGACATTAAATACCCAGAAGGGAGGCTCTGTCCTCTTCGTTATAAATTGTGAATCAAAAGATGCTTGGGATTCTCTTGCTCTTGCTTAGTTCTGTGGTTGTGGGGAACACTGGTTGTGCAATCTCTAAAGGGGGATTAAGCCCGTGAAGTCGGAGAAGAGGCGGAGGAGGGGACGGTGAGGGAGAAACGGAAAAGCATGTGAAGAGGGAAATTGTGTTCATGTAAGAAAGTAGTGATGGCAACCGCTTTTAAATGGGGTAGGATGTCACTGAGGAAGGAAAGGAGAGTTGGAGGTGTGGGGTGGCTCAAAGTGAGATGCCCAGGATGGAGATATAAAGAAGGATGGAGGGAACATGATATGTTAATGGGGTGAGTGTGCGTTGATGTAGGGCAGGAGAACCGTGTGTCTGTTTAATGTAAAATAGAGCCAGGCTGTTTAAATGAGACTTCAAAGAGACTATCCATGAACATAAACCAAACTGACACACTTGCAAGACTGAGAGAACCGGTGCCAGGGGCATCTGCAAGCATGGAAGAGACCTGAGGTGTTCTCTGCTATGCCTGATTAGAAATAGTTTTTTTAGTTGTAAAGATACAGCCATTGAAAATTGTCCGTATATTTAGTTAATATACACGAGCATCTTCTCTGCTGCTCCTGCTCGGAGCAATGCTGTCTTTTGTGTTTTCCACAATCAAGTAGGGTTGAGGGCAGAGCAGCTGACATTGCTTTGACAGCACATTGACACGAGTTTGTGAAGAAGTCTATATGTGTCTCTGACTTTGACAGAGTGCCTCTATATCAGTGCCTGTCTTCATCCGAGTGCACTTTACGGGTTTGGCATACGAACTCTGTGCTGTCTTTGCAAAGAGAAAAGTGAAAAGAGAGATAAATCCCAGTGTCTATCAAGTTGTATGATTGTGTAGAGGTCAGCTCAGTCGGAGGAACTCACAGGACAGACACCAGAGAACAAGAGCTGAATATCAAGCTTCCCACTGTTGCTGGAATGTGAAGAATTCTGTGGAAAGTGAAACATAGAGTGAGTGATGAGCGATGTGATGAATTCATTGAGAATTTCCACCAAGTCCTGGTTCATTTTTAAAGGGCAATCTTTGAGGAATGTATCACAGGCTGTGTTCAGACTGCAGGTCATGTTTCTCAATTTACGAGGTTTTTGTTCAGATGTATACTTTTTTTGTGTGATGGTCCACATTATACGTTAAATGCCAAACAATCAAACTGCAGTGTGAAGGGTCTGCGACTGACCTGCATAGGCTGGAGAAGTAAGTATGGATTCTACACATGTAGGCAGGTGTTTACCAATTTGGAAGTTGTTGTGCATCATTGTCAGCCAGTTGGATTGATTGGTCAACCCCTTTATTGCAGGTACCGGGGGTAAAACCTTGGCGGTGGTAGGTTTTCTGTCACCACCTCATGTCCAAAAAGCAAAACTTTGATTATCTTGTTCTCTCCACTGACAAGCTCCATCAACATGTTTTCCATGCTTATTTTTTTTTTTTTTGCTTTATTTACTTTTGAAACTCTCCCTTCTCCAACACAGGATTGTGACATTTGTCCCACTTCAGTGACAAAAAGATAGATATAATTGACCTGATCATTAAGAATGAGGCCTTCAAACAAACACTGGATAGGTATCAAATTTACGACCACATATTAAAGTGACGTGGTACCATTCCTTTCATGAAAAATAGACATACCATGAATCATTCATCCTCTGGATGTATAAAAAAAGAAATTCAGCTACACACAGTTTACGCCTTTTTTTTTTTTTTTAAATCACACTCAGCCATCACCCTTGTCCTTCCTCTACACTTATAGCAGTAAGAGTAACACCTGTGTGTGTGTGTGTGTGTGTGTGTGTGTGTGAACCATACCTACCATGAGTGGTGTGAACATGCTGTGCTGATAACACTCAGGATGATAACACTGCAGAAGCTAAAGGCAGTAATCCTCTTGACACAAGCACACACAAACTATACTATAAGGGCTGGAAGGCAATAGTCCAAAAATATTTTATGATAAGTTGTAATTCAAGGTATCACTTTTGTTATGGGGTTATTTGAATTTTACTGTGATTATTAAACAGAAAAACAGTGTAATTGTAATGGTTTTGATTAAAAACTGTCTACAGTTTGTGCTCCACAAATCTTTTGTATGTCCCTTGCGATAGCACTGCGATACTATAGCAGTTCCAAAGCCATACTCTTTTCTTGAATGCAGCAGCACACACTCAGAGGTCAAGAACTCTGAAGTTAATAAAAGATCTGAACAGTGCTTTCAGACAGCACTGATTCTCACGCAGCCGATTGTTGTACTTTGCATGCAATGAAAATGCAGGTTTGAATTCACATCTAAAAATAAGAAAATAAAAATAAGCCAAGTTGAAGGAAAACCGGAGAAAGGTCAGCGACTTCTTCAGGATGTAAAGTAAAAAGTGAAGGAAGCTTCAGTTCTAACAGAGGAAGGTAAATGATACGATAATAAACTTTGCCACCAATGTACATATTTCTGAAGGCTGTGTGCCAGGTCAATGTTGTTATCGGTTCATCCTGAAGGAGGTGAAGGGGCATTAGCACTTCAGGGCGGCACATGGAACATAAAGGTGGTTGCAGAACAACATCTAAAAGCAGCTAAGTGTCACCAGCAATGATGAATTGAGAATTGAGAAAATAGGAAATATAAGAATTATCAACTTCAAGTTTGGGATTTCACATTGTTTTCATTATAACTGTGACTCACTTGCTGTAAGGCAAGTGAAATAAACCACCTTTCCACCGTGTGCCTGGATTTCCAGAACAGAGATCTTTGACATAAGAGCTTAGGAAACGTAGTTTAATGTTTTTCACGTGACACTGTTACTGCTGTTACAACAGAGGTCTTAGAGTTGTGTTTATGATAAACTGATCATTCTTGTTGTCCCATATCTAGAAATTATGTACATTATCTACTACTGTCATAGTTTAAAATCTGGAATCAGGAACCTATAAACAACTCTAAAAGAAACTATGTAAAATAAATATTCCTTATGATGATACTTTTGTTTCAAAAAAGACTTGATTAGTCAATGTTTAACACAGTTAATGGTTGTAATTTAGCTGATGATTAGTCAGTAATAATCCACTTCTCCCTGCAGCTCTAATTACAACCCTTCCTGGTTTTTTGTCTTTTCTGAGACCGTTTTATTAGAGGATACCCAGATATTAACAGGATCTGAAGCAGCGCAACATTTTTTTTTTACACATTCTATTGTTTGTAAAATAACATTGTTAACATAAAAATATGTAATCTCAGGATGTATGCGTTTGTATTTCTGTCAAATATAAGGACTATCTCTATAGTGTGTACTGTACAGTGTAGTTCACAAAAGACCTACAGTGCACTTCATGGCACATCGCAAAATGGTGCACGTCTGTAAAGTGTATTGCACATGCTCTTGTTTCTTGTTGTGCAAATTTGTGAAATTTGATCATACAGTAAATTTTGTTTCACCACTGCAATAATTATTGGTTGGTTTCTCTGCACCAGTTTCTCTTTGTCAGCCCGAGGGAAAAACCTTGCAAGGTTACAAAACTCATGAAGTGCATGACAAGCATGACAGGAGGTAGAAAAGTCTAGAAGCACGATCAGCATCTGGTTGTCTGCAATAACACTTCACTTGGACTCAATTAGGGCCAGTCGTAGATATATAAGAACATTTGACGAGTCTGTAGTCATCAAAAGTTACACAGTTAATGGGACTTTTTGTTTCGTTATTGTTCAGATCATATGTCTTCCATTTGTTTTACATTGTTCTATCTCTAGGCTCAGGCTGCTCTTCTTAAATGGTAATCATTACAACCTTCCTGAACCAGAGGCACAAACACTTGAGTTTTATGACTGAGAACATTAAATGAGAAGGCAGAGCAGCTTCAGACGTTGGCCAGAAAGCTGTGTCTAAGTGACACGATGTCGCCAATCTCTTTCTTGTTTGCAGGACAGTATTACTGTAATGTTCTGATCTGTATAGTGAGAACCATCACAGTACTGGATATTTTTTAAGCAAACCAGTTTTTTCTATTTTAGTAATGACCTCCTGTCATGCAGTTACATCCAAATGGAATTTATTGAGTAAAAACCTTTTTGACTTTATCTGTCAAAATGAGTTACTATCTTCAGGTGTCATTACCTTGAACACATTGTGATGAACAAATACTTACTGTCACAATAGCTGGAAGATAATTATCTAATTATTTGCTACATACAGCCTTTAAATGCCCCTCCCAAACCAAGGACCTGTACCTTTTAATCTGCCATCCCTGGCATCACCTTAATCAAATAAGTTCAAGTTTCACTGCTTAGGATTTAGCAGTATCTCAGTCATGGTGTTTGCCTTCCTCTGCTGGTTACGTAGATTACTGTTTGGTTATTGTGTGGCTTTCACTGATGCAGTATATCATAATTATGCAGCCTGTTTAGTCCAGAGAAATGACTCACAAAGGGAAGCAGATGTTTTGTGTTTGACCTTCTTGATCTTGTGATTTTAATGGTTATATAAAGACTGCATAATAATCTTGATTTGGACAAAACTCTTTTGCAATGCTGTGACATTGAAACAATTTAACTCTGTAAGCACAAAAGTGTAAAAAAGGACAAACTTTAAGAGACAAACTTTTCCTTTTTTTGCTGTACACAGCCCATAAAACTATCACAACAATATTAGGCAGAAATCTCAGAAATGCTGTTCTGCACTTCTCCATCCTCTGTAGCTGTGAAGACAAGCTTACTAGTGCCAAGCTAACCTACTGTAGCTGTGCACAAACATCTTTTTTCCCTCTCAGGGGCATGAAAGACCTCACCATGGCCAAATTAATTTTCTCCCTTCTGCTGCTGCACCCTCGGGGATCATTGAGGCAAAGATTTAGCTAAAGAGAGGAGAGGTGGTGCTGGAGGTGAGAAGGGGAGCAGAGGAATTTTAATGTGGCTCTGTCTGTTTCTAGCTGCTTGAAAAAAAAAGGCAATTACTATCCCATCTTTCTCTGTCTGTCTCTCTTGCTTTTCTTTATCTAAACACACACACACACACACACACACACACATATATAATATATGTATTTATAAATAAAAAACAGACTAAGCTTTCTGATTAAGTTGTCAGTTTTGAATTCAGAATTATTATTTTTTGTGTAAAGTCTAGTATAAATCCAGTAGCATAGTGTTCAGTTTGAGACTCTGTGTGAGTGTGGAGGTGACCGCTTGGAGAAGTGCTGATAAACAGCTGACAGATAAGAACAGAGAGTCAGACCGACAGGCGAGCAGAAAGACAGATGGAGGTGTTGGGAAGATACTCAGACACTGAGCTCAAATACGGATGGAAGTTAAGGATAGCTGGTGAGAAAGTAAGTGATAGATGAGAAGAAATGGAAAGCTCGTCGGCAGAGCTTTGGAAAAAGCTGCTTTTTCTGTGTGCCTCTCTGAGATCAGCGTCGCACAAAGCCTTATCTCATTGTTTCTTTACATTTCAGGATGCGGAGGTTTGCATACTGTAAGGTGGTTTTAGCCACTTCTCTGGTGTGGGTGATGCTGGACATGTTTATTCTGCTCTACTTCAGCGAGTGCAACAAGTGCGATGACAAAAAGGAGAGAGGGCTACCCGGCAGAGACGGTGAGTGTGTGACAAAGGCAGACACGCATATGTGGTTACAGGGTGGCACTGTTCTCCCTCATCACCCTTCATTAACCCTATATATCTGGGCTGTATGTATTCTTTCAGATGCCCTCACCAGGCCTCGGGACGGACCGGGTGAAGGGGGGAAGCCTGTGGTGATTCCTAAGGAAAATCAGGAAAAGATGAAGGAGATGTTTAAGATCAACCAGTTCAACCTCATGGCTTCAGAGATGATCGCCCTGAATCGCTCACTGCCTGATGTCCGCCTGGAGGGGTAAGCAGCCTCCCCACTGAACTCACTGCAGCTGCACATCTGTCATATCGTCTTAACTGACTCATAAAAGCCTCCTTAAATGAATTTCCGTGCCATTTGTTTTGAGATAGTATTTATATGTAGAAAACAGACACCACTGTCCTCCTCTCTGTGGACAATGCCTTCTGTCTGTCTTTTGCATCACACATTGTGTGCATTATAAGTCCACCGGCCATGTCTTAAGGCTGATCCACCTTCCTGTTTCCACAGGAAATGCATGACATTATGGAAGCAGTGACACAATTTCATGCGATGCTATGAATATCACGTCGACTATGGCTTAAGCTAAGTGCATTGTGCTGGAGCTTGTCACAGCAGCAGACAGATGCAGTCAGACAGCCTGGATTTTATGTCAAGGTTATTTCTAGCAGGTGGAAACTAGCTTAGACCTCCACCTCCTAAGCTTCCTTTTTTTTTCCAACTTTGGTAGCAGAATATTCAGCCATCAGTGAAAAGCTTTTTAGAGAGACTGACATGTAGAAAGACTGACTGACAGACGCACGGCTGACAGACAGGGGCAGATGCACACTAGACAGGCTGGAAAGAAAGAGGACATTGATCCGTGAAATGGGTTTTAGTCTTTGGGCGAGAGTTGATTACTAGGTGTGTTTTCACTCTGCCTGCTTTTCGTCTATCTGCTTTTCCAATTAGGAGATAAGACAGTCAATATCGAGCAATGGAATGTCCCTGTGTGTGTGTGTGTGTGTGTGGGAACATGTGCATGCACATTTATCTGCCAATGTGCGTGTGTATCTGCAGGTGAGGCGAGGTGTAGGGGCGTGGGTCGTAGCTCTGCAGTCTGTCTAATGATGACACTAAACTGTAAAAGGAAAATCACTAATGGTTTAATCATTCATTTCCAGTATTGTCAGCAGTGCAGCACTTGGTGTGAAAAAAAGTGGAACTAAGTTGTCTTGCCGACATTACTGTCAAGCCGGTGCATGTCTGTGTTAATGTGCACGTCAGTGTATTGGGGGGGTTGCTGGGTGGGTCTACAGTATATGAAAACGCTTTTCTTGACCGCACCTTACAGACAGCTAGACATTTTCTACTTTTAAAAATCCTGACTGCAACACTATGAGAACATGAATGTGTGTGTGTATACGTAAGTGTGTGTAATGAGAGTGACGCTGCTTTAATTAGAACCAGTCCACCCTTCCATCATAACTATCCCTGCAATCCAGTGAGTGAACTCACAGTCTGTAGCTCATTACCCATTTGCTGTTGCCAAATGCTGCTCCTCCACCTTGGCTTGATGGAGTGGACTTACAACGAGCTCTACATTTTTTTTTAAAATCTACATCATGTGATACAGTGTGTGGGAGACATGTGTTCTCGTGTGTGTGTCCAGAGGCTGGCTAACTGGAAACACTTGAGGCTTATTTTCCATCAGCTGCCTGGTAAAGATGACTGAAAAGATGTATTTATGTTTGTAATAACACGTTATTTAAAAAAAGAAAAAGTCAGCTTGAGCTACGTCAACTGACTTTATGGAGTGTACGGGCGTGTACAGCGCAACCTGAGGATGTGTGTGTGTGTGTGTGTGTGTGTGTGCGTGCGTGTGTGTGACTGAATATGATTCAGAAGCAGCTGAAGACATTGAGTTTTTATTTGACCTCCACTGCTCTGTGGCCGTCAGACACACAGACAGTGAGCAGTGAGGTTAGAGGAAGAAAAGAGTAATGTTCCCTTCAGCAATTGTCAGAGTGGAGTCTGTCACTGACAGGACATTTCCTGTTGATTTCAGTTTTGTCATCAGAAAAAAACAATGTTTCAGTTGAGTGTTTGTTTAAGGACATGATTGCTTGTGCGTTTCTGAAATCCACATTTCACATGTTTTAACTCCCTAACCTTGACCTTAAGTCAACTTATTATATTTTCTTTTACTCCAGATAATGAATTGATGAATTACTAGTTTGTGAACTTATTAAAAAAAGACTTGGTGTCTTGTGGCTACTTGGTCATTTAGGTCTGAAATTTTCACTTCATTGAAATGTGATCTACTCTCTGCAGAAGCAAAAACAACTATTTTGATACTGAAATACAGTTAAACAACATGCCATGGTATCAGTAAGTCTTCTGAGAACAAACTAATTAAATGATTGTCTGTCCTGAAACTGGTAGCAAGATACAGTTACTGTACAGAGGCAGAGTGAAGTCTTAGGTAACATTTGATGTAGTTATCCGCAAGTATAACATCCAGAATGCTGGGATTCCTGTGGCCCACCTCAACTCAATTATTGCCACCACTGTTTCAGAGTTGAGTTAGATGTACATTAATAGTCTACTTGTTACCAACACCTAAGGTTATTATAGCTCTGAGACAAATATCTTTATAAGTTTAAACATCAGCTTTCCCCCTGTCAGTGTACGGTCTGGGTTTTGCAAACAAATAAACTGAGACTGTTTCAGGTGTTTTTAATGGGATTATGGACAATCATGATGTCACAAGGTGCCATAATGAGCCACAGTGAATCCAAAATAAAACTTGAGTTTTACATTTTTTGGTGAAGGTTGGGACTGAGATGCAAACTTATATATAAAAAAAAGATATATGCAATTGAGGATTGAAAAAGCGTTTACAGAATTTACACAGCACACACACTATTTTGTTGCATACAGAATTTGAATTCACAAAAAAATGTTAAGGTTGTTTTCTCCCCCTCATTTTAACTCTCAGTTCTGTGCTGTCTTTGCTGAATAACAGACCAAGAAACGTGAGGAAGATTTGTGGAGTATCTTTCTGGGTGTCTGGGGGTCCTATAGTCAAGGACTTATAGATTTTCTATGGCATTTTAGTCATGGCTTGATGCTGGACATTTAATGACAATAACCTTCACATTCTGTAGGTGGTTCATTACCAGTTAATAAGTTTCTTGGAGTTGTTGTTAAGCTGGAAGAGAAATGACTACATGGATCCAGTTTTATCCTATTTAATTTTTATTCTACATCAATAATTCTTTATACTATTATTCTGTGCATTAACCGTCCTCACTGCATTATACTTCATCATGTTCCATTGTGAGAACAATGTTCATATGATGACATGCCTTTTTTTTGTCCTTCAAACACAGGCAACGCCCACATGACCACAGACTTCTTCTCTGATGTCATCTGACCAAATTACAGTCTGTGCCATAAATCTCTGAGTTGTTCCTACTTCAGTCTTTTTTTGATATTCCAATATTTAGAATCTGCTGAGTCATTCCTGTGTTGTGGGAATAATTTGATGAAATTATGAGGCATTTCTTACTTGATTTTGACTACTTACTTGAAGACTTTTTTATTTTCTTTGGACATGTTTGATTTTTAAAATGTATATTTCTAAAACTTCCTAATCCAGTTTTTGACCCTAAGAGATTCTTGTGTAGTTCACTGGAGTTCTTTTCGTCAAGCCTAAATTTAAATATTTTTCAAAAGTTTTCAGGGATTAATGTTACGGTGGCATGGTAGAGTGGTCTTAGGTGCTGGATTATGTCTCTTCAGGGGTGTGGCTTGCAGTCCGTTTGACACTCGTGCCAGTCAACTTGTCAGTCATGGACTTACTGACTGCTCCACACTCAGTGAGGCCGGTCGGACACGTCACGCGTCTGAACATAAATTGAAGCCTCCACAAACTCAAGCTGTGTATTGAGATTACCAAAGTGCGTGTGTGAATAAAAACGTGTTTTGACTGTGTATTATAGAAACCATAAATGGATGGTCTGTTGAATTATTGGATATAAACTGCACTTAATTCTGCTGATATGATAAAAAAACATTTAATTATTTTCATTGAGTTTGATGTGTGTGCTTTGTGTTTACACCTTCTAATCAGTGTCAGTGATCCACTGTTGTTGTTCTGACCCAGTGTTTTTGTGGCTGTCGTTCATCCTTCATTCCCAGCTGTCTGTGACCAAAGTCGATTAAAAAAAACCAACTCTTTTCGAGGCCATAAATGATGAAGTAATTAATGCAGTGATTTAAGGACTGACTCGTGTACTTTGCTTGTTATTTGAGTCTCTCTCTCTTTCTCCCTCTCTCGCTCTCTTTCTCTCTCCGTCTATCCCACTCTCTCTCTCTCCCTCCCTCCCTCTCTGTTGTACAGCTCTCTCTTGTGTAGTCACTTCAGCTGCACTGCTGTATGTCTCAGTCTCTTAGAATCAGACAGAGGCTGAATTGTGATGTCTCTACTAGAGTGATTTTTCTTTTCTCTCCCTCTGTCTCACTGGCAGAGTGGGTTTGTCTGAGATGAAATCTTGCAACTTAATGTATCAAACATGTGGTTAAAGTTTATACGTTTTCTTTGTGTTTTCTTCCCCTCTCATTATGTCAAATTTATCAGCGTTAGCTTTTCAGAATATTGAAGATTGTTTTTAAAATTGAGTGTGTTTCTAAATGATATGTATTGTCTTAAGGTGCAAGAACAAGTTGTATCCTGATAATCTCCCACGGACCAGTGTGGTGATTGTATTTCACAATGAGGCGTGGAGCACACTGCTGAGGACCGTTCACTCTGTCATTGACCGTTCCCCACACACACTGTTAGAGGAGATCGTCCTGGTGGATGATGCCAGTGAGAGAGGTATGAACACACATCCCAATGTCTTTGTCTTAGGGTTAGCCATTTTCAACAAGATAACCAATGTTAACATTTCATAAGCCCATATGTGTGTGCACACGTGCATCTGTGCCCGACAGCTAGTCAGTCAATATGTTGTGTGCTGTGGTTGCCAGTCCAGCCTGCAATGCTGTTAATCTCTGTTTGAGAGAGATTAGGTCTTTAATTAGCCAGCTGTGGGGATTACACTCTGTTATAACCAGAACCCTCCCGGCTGCCACCACACAGCACCATTAAGCAAATGGTGGGACCTCTGGTTTTTAATGGTGCAAGTCAGGAGGTGTTTTAGTCAGAATTTATTTTCAGTAAAGAGGACAAAAAAGACGTCAGAATGCCAGCTGAGGCACCTGCGTATAAACTAAAACTCAAGGACACACACTGGCCTTTGATCCTGTCGAGTATGAAATGAATAAGTTGCAGCATTGCCTTGTAATCCAGCCTCTGGAGTGTTTGTTGTTGTCTGTCTTGTCTGTGTGTTAATGTTTGTTTATTAGGGAGTTTTGTCAGCTTTGTTGCTGGGGCTTTACAGGTTGGCTGATTCATTTTTTACACCGTATATTTTTGAATATATTTAAATTCAGAAAAGCCTTTCACAAAATGAACTTGTTTGCTTCTTATATGTATTTATATTATATGTACATAAATATGTATTTGTATATGTGTATTTATGTATATGTTTATGTATGTTTGTATATATTTTCATTTTATACATGTGTATATATATTAATGTATACTTGAAAGCAAATTCTAATAGAATGAGTTAGGTTTGTTACCTATATATACATATATATGAGCAACACATGTAACAGTGGTTCTAGTATCTTTTTTTGTATTCATATTTGTGTTTTCTGTGTTCAGATTTCCTGAAGCGCCCTTTGGAGCAATATGTCAAAAAGCTTGAAATTCCTGTCAGAGTGGTGAGGATGGAGCAAAGGTCTGGACTCATCCGAGCTCGTCTCAAAGGAGCATCACTCTCCACTGGCCAGGTGTGTTTACACACAAACATGTCATTCACTACTCACCAACTTTTTCACAATATGCTGTGTACATTGCTTCCTTTCTTAAACTTTTTAAAAAAAACATTTTGTAGGTGATAACATTTTTGGATGCTCATTGTGAATGCACAACAGGGTGGTTAGAACCTCTGCTCGCTCGCATCAAGCAAGACAAGTAAGAAACGCACACCTACTCACTTACGTTGCCAATGGCTAGCATTAGAAAAATCAATAAACTATTGTTGAGCATGCAGGGGGGCTGTCCCCGTGTTTATTTGATGCTTAATCACTCATTCTCTGTTTACTGCGTTCTACAAGCAGGTAGACAGACAAACACAACACACATAAAGACACACAGAAAACAAAGTTCTGGAAGATTGATGAGTGATAGCCCACGGGGCCATCTGAGGTGCCACTCCCTGCAGATGAGTACTTAGTTGTGATTGATGACCACCTCAAGTGACAGCCCAGATCATAAATTCTTCAGAGTCTTATTTTTGTAGTATATTAAAATACTTGTACCATTGTCTGGTTGAAGTCAACAAGTGACATATTAAGATGAAAAAAATTAAAAAGCTTGGTGATTTAAAAAAAACAACAAAACAGTTAAATATATTTAGGATCATTTGAATACATAACATTATATTAACAATACTGAACAAAACAGTTCATCAAATTCTGGAAGACAGCAAATTGATTACTACTTTAGTAAGAGGGGAGCTATTAAGGAAATACAACAATTGTCTTTTAAAAGATAGAAGATAGTCTTAAAAATGTAAACAATACCAATTTACTAACGATGACCACAGATTAGTGAAGGTTGTGCCTTTATGTTTAATATGTTTTATAGATATTTTTATGATAAATAATTTCTAATACAGAATAGAAGGGAAAAACTTAAACATTGCTGTACATTAAAGGGCAGCTTCCTTGTAGGACTCTGAAATAAATTAAAGGCTAAACACTTAAATGCAGTGTTTTAAAGTGCTTAAACAAGGGAAAACATGGAGGTAGGAATTTCCTGGACTTTTGCCACATTGGCCTGAAAAGCGGCGCCTGTTAAAACACAAATGCTCTACACCTGGGTTTACATGGGAAGACAATTGGGGCTGAATCTGGACCCAGTGCCACCATTTGGTGACTTTGGACTTAGAATACTAGGCTAATGCGATGTATGTGCATACAGTGTGCTCTCTGCTCAGAATATCTTCTGTTTGTGTAGGAGGACGGTGGTGTGCCCCATAATTGATGTGATCAGTGATGACACCTTTGAGTACATGGCAGGATCAGACATGACATACGGAGGATTCAACTGGAAACTCAACTTCCGCTGGTATCCTGTACCACAGAGAGAGATGGACCGCCGCAAAGGAGACCGCACTCTGCCTGTCAGGTTGGTGCAGTTACTTCTAGATACTTTCCACTCTATAGTAGTCAAGTTCCAAGGTAGAACCTGAAGCTAGCTTTTTGATGCCTTTTTAAGGGCAATTGCCGCAGCAGTTAAACTGGTTGTTACAGCATCATCCACCTTGTAATTTGCAGTACTGTGCAACTGACCTCAGAGCATGTCTGAAGACATTTTTAAAGACTCCCTTCACTGTGGCTCCTGGTCAGCAAAACCCCACCAGATATCAAGTATGCAGGTCTGAGACCTGTGGCCTGACTTTCCGTCAGCATGACAGCCCATGTGTCTTCATGTGATGATTTGTGACCAAATCTGACAAAACAAAAACACTACATTATCACTTCAGAGCAAATGCATTGTCATCCAGCTGCCTGTCTTTTTCTTAGTTTGAAGCCATTGTGTTTATTTTTAGTTCTAACAGGAGTTTGTTTGTAATTCAAACTTCATGTCAAACATTCACTGTAAATGAGCAGTCTTTGTTTGCTTTTTAATGTTATTGCTCATATTTTAAAGTACAAATCCAAATAGAGCCTTCAGCTACAGTTTCTCTTAATATTTTGATACTCTATAAAAAAAGTACCCTAAAAGTCTGAACACACCATCACACCACGGTTTGTCAGGAAGTGTTTGCTCTGTGTCATTGTTTGTATGCAAGGTATTGTTTGTTCGTGAGTAAACATTGTTTAATGAAAGCAAATACTGGCAGCAGGGAAAATAAGCCCCACATACAAAGAAAGAAACACGCTCTGTGACACAGAGAGAAAATATGAAGAGCAGCTGCAGGCTGTTCATTGTGACACAGACATCATAACATCACAGAAATGATCACAACATAGAGCAAAATAGCAGAAAATAAGGGGTGAGATCTGCCTAAGTTTGACACAGATCAGATCGGTAGTTGCTGTATGACCTTTAAAAAGCAGGGCTGGGGGGATTTTACTGGCTGTGCCTCAACTCCGTCTTAATTTACTTGTTCTGCTGTTTGCTCTTTTGCAGGACTCCTACCATGGCAGGTGGTCTGTTCTCCATAGACAGGGATTATTTCCAGGAGATCGGCACATATGACGCAGGCATGGACATCTGGGGTGGAGAGAACCTGGAAATCTCTTTCAGAGTGAGTAAACTCACACAGTGGGTCGACGTGACAGTGTTCTTCCATTCACTGGCAGATATTCAGGATTGTCTGCACTGCTTCAAAAACACACACACACACACACACACTTACAAATTACTCTTGAGTGTTGGATCCACTGTCTGCCTGACTCAACTAGCACTTTGTTTGATACCGTCATGACTGGCCAACAGTCGGACTTATTCAGACTGTGACAACAAAGAGAGGGCCAATCTGCGTCATCAATCTCCCAGCAGCACTTGTTGGTCAGTCCCTGTTCATTACTGGCACTCTGGGGAAACTAAAAAACAAACACAATCAGTCACAAGCATCAACCAATGTGTATTTAATGTTAATTTTCAGCCATTCTTAACTGGTCTGATGTGGTGGCCATGTGTCTGGCTGTAGTCATGGGTCAGGCATGTGCTTGAAGCATCATGAAAGGAGAGCCCCACAGTGCTCAAGTTAGAGGACGGAAGGTGTTAGTTTTTTAGTTTTACACACACATATATATATATATATATATATATATATAT